CTCCCTGTTCTGGGATTGCCATGAGAGGAAATTCAGGTAGCTGCAAACCTGGCCTGTGGGCCAGTTCCCATTCCCAGGGTGTCAGGGAATGGGCAGAATATGCCAGAGCCCCATGTGTGATAAATCTTCTCTCCTTCTAGCTGTCCTCAGTGGATTGGGTACACTGCTGTGCCAGTCTAACACTCGGGCCATTCCTCTTCTAAAGTCTGGAGACTTTAACTTTTAGCTCTGGGAGTCCTGCTGACACAGAATAGCTGTAACACAGATGGTTCAGTGTTAGAAACAGCAGCCTTGGGCACACAGATTCAGGTCCTTGCTTTGGCATGTTCTTCCCAACTGGCACTGAAGGCCATCAGTGCTTTGCTTTTCTCTATGTAACAGGCACCTTACCTGCCCAAAAAGCAGATCTCTGTGTTGAGTTTTGTTACAGTGCATTTGGGAGAGCTCTGTGGAGGTACAGTCAGAAATGTCTCTGCTTAACACCAAGAAACAGAGATCTGCAGCTTTTCCCAGAACTCCTCCAGAGCAGTCATGGAGAGCAGTGATGTTAGTGGCATGTTTTCACTGGGATGTGGGACATGGGCATTGCTCAGCTCAGAGGGAGAACCTCAAAGTCACCTCAGCAGTAGGACCAGCCATGAAGGACTTGCTGAAATAATTCTGGAGCACAGTGAAGCTTCCTTACCCCCAGGGGATTTGTGTGATTAGATAAGGCCTGTGCCACATCAGCACGAGTTCAAGGTGGGCCAATGCAGTGGGAGGCAGCCCAGGCACTGGCTCCAAGCCTTGGACATGGTCCTGTCTGGGGAGGAGCAGCACAGGATGCTGTGAGGGCTGTCAATCCCTGCCCATGTTGAGGGGGTTGGAACTAAAGGATCTTTGAGCTCCCTTCTGACCCAAACCACTCCATGACTCCATGTTCCCTGCATTAGGTTTTGCACTGCTTTCTTTCTATTTGAGTGGGTTGGAAACCAATGCCAGTCTTAAAAGCAGCTCTGATTTTTCAGCAGTGTGTGGACTTCTTACAGCATCGAGCCCCATCTTTCCAAGGAGGATTTGCAGGGCTGGAGTGCTCACCCCTCTCACTACAGAAATGGCAGCCACGGAGCTGAAACTCCCAGCTCATCAGTAAACGTGTCTGTACTGAGAAAATTCATCCTGTTAAGGGGCTTCCTTTAGCAGACTCAAGTCAGATTGTCTTATTTGTCTTTTATTTGAAGCCCTTTCATCTCTCCATTTCTCTCAGCCTGGTATCCTGTTCCTGGAGTGTGCCAAATATGTTGTCTTTACTGCAGCCTCTTCAGTCTTTGTGGAGAGCAAGATCTGCTCACAGTGATACATGTCAGGATGTTTTTGGTTTGATCCAAGGCCCATGCTGGTTATGTTGGGTTTATTTTAGTTTTGTTTTTTGGTTTTGGTTTTGTGGTTTGTTTTTTTTTTTTTTTTTGTGTGGGTTGGTTTTTTGGGTTTATTTTTGCGTAGGAAAGGAATCATTATTGAAATCCTGCAAGGTTTTATTTCATTTCTTCCACAGTCATGAGCAGTGGTAACTATTGTAGCTTTGCTCACAGTGGTGGTTCCTCTGTGGTATTTGTACTCACCCTGAGGGTGATCTCTTGAGCCTGACTCAGCAGTGTCTGGTGGTCCAGCTGCCATTTCCTGGGGGGCTGACTTATTTTCTCTCCCCACCAACCTGAAGGTGTTAAAAAGGAAGTCATAAAATCAATATTTTCATTGTAGAAACATGGTATATCCAAGTTTTTCACATGTTTTTGTCTTTTAAAATATGTAATCCCGTGAGACTTGGCTCAGGGGCTGAGGGAAGTGTGTTCCTTGTGATCACATCTTCGAGACACCTCAGTGTGTTAACACAAGAATGTGTTTGTGAGGAGCCTGTCATGAAGTCTGGAGTTCATCAGTCCACTTCTTACATGATAGAAGGATAAAATTAATTCCAGAGAATGAGAGATGTTGGAAATAACAGAAAATCCTTCTGGTGGAAAGAGGAATAATGGTTTACAGCCAGTCAGGTATTTCAGATCACACAAGGGGATCAGTACTGCAGATGGAAATACCAGCATTCATTGTACAGTGTTACTTAGAAATATTCCCTGGTGTGAATGTAAGGGCTCTCCTGATCTGATGAGGGGAGGTGCTTCCAGAGATGCTGTATCTTTATCAGCATTTGTTAGGAGCTGCCAAAAATGTGACTTTGCACTGACCAGGAGAAATAAAACTCCAGTCTTGCTCAGGAGGATGGTAGCAGGGAGGTGGAAGGAGCTAAAATCATTGTTTAGGATAAATTCTGACTCACCTTTTCAACCTGGGAAGCTGATCACTCCTGAGGGTTTACTCCAGGTCCCACACAAACATCCATTTGGCATTTTGGTGTAGGATCCTTGCCTGCATGTCTGGCTCTGAGGAGGCTGATGCTCAGTGCTGAGAGCTGGTCTTTGGCTTCTGCCCAGGAAAGGGGTCTGTCAGCTGGCTCATCAAAGCATGCCTTGAGAGAGCAAGAACTGTGCTTTAGACCAGCAAAAGTTCTGGTGTCCACAGGTCAGGCAGAAATCAGAGGAGCCGAGTCTGGTGTGAAAACTAAAGGAGGAGTCAGATCGTGTGCTGACATTCTTCTGATTTCTCATGTAGGCTGAAAGTGCTTTTCTTTCTGCAGCATAGAAATTAAAAATGGCAAAAAAAGGTGTTAAATGAGCAAGCAGGCTGAGTTTGGGAAAGGTTCTTCCCCTTGAGGGTTGTGGGGCACTGAACAGGCTTCCAGGGAATGGTCATGGTTCCAAGGCTGCCAAAGCTCAATCTGGAAAATGCTCTCAGGGACAGGGTGGGATTGTTGGGGTGTCCTGTGTGGTCAGGAGTTGGAATTGATCATCCTTATGGATCCCTCCCAGCTCAGGATATTCTGTAATTCACATGAATTAATCCTTATGAATCCCTCCCAGCTCAGGATATTCTGTAATTCTGCTCATCATGTGCCTGATTTTCTGCTTGGGTTGGGATGCCACTTGATGTGCCTGTGTAGTCACACAGGGGCTTCCAGCATGGAGCTGAAACATTGCAGCAGGGAGGCTGGAATGGCAGCACTGCCATCACCCCTGACAGGCAGGAGCTTACAGGGCTGCCCTCACATTTCCTGAGGGAATTTGTAAGGGACAGCTCTTTACTGCTGGAAACATTGATGGTGTTTGATGGAAACATCGCTGTGAAGAAAACCTCAGCTGAAGCAGAGGTTACATGGAAGGGATTTTTAGTGGCTGCAGTGGTTGTGGTGCTCCAGACCTGTGCTTTTGTGGGGAACAAATCAATGACTGCAGGCGCTTTGCATCATGAGAAACTGTCAGGATTCTCTTGTGGCAGCCCCATGGGATTTCCAAGAAGCGTCATTCTCACAGTCCTCTGTCAATATGCAAAGTTTCCTTTTTTTTTTCCCCCAGTCCTAATCTGTGGGTATGTATCTGACCTAATAAAACCATTTTCCAGCTTCACTGCTGGTGGTTTTCTTCCTCTTGTCTCTGAAAGCCTCTGGCCTGCTGGCAGTGGCATTGTCCAGCAAGGTTTGAAGCTTGGCACGCTGTCAGCAAACCTTCAGGTTCCCTTTCAATCAAACATGGGAGTGCTGAGATCCGACTTGGATTCCATCCCAAGGTTCACCAGAATCACCCTTGTATAATAGGAAGTCCAAACAACCCCAGGAAATAATTCAGTTGTGACTGGTGCCTTGAGTGGAACAAAGAAGTGCCTAGAAGAGACATTAAGAGCCTCAGCTCTAACTCCTTTGATAATTATGCACTCTGAAGGAGCAGAGGCTTTGGAGATAAAGGGATTACATGCATCTCATGAGGGCTGGAAAGATGGGACAGCATCTTCCATCCACATTTTCTCATTTTTGTTTTACTGATATTGCAGTTGCCACATTTTGTGGAAGAATATTGCAGAGTAGGCTCCCCTGTAACCCTGCAGTTGCCTTCCAATCTGGCACAGGTAAATTGAATCTGACTACCCTTAGGGATGAGCTTTTGGAAAAGCCTGTTGGCAAGAGCAGTGGGGGGAGAACTTAATTAGATTAAGATGCATTTCCACAGTGTTGCTGCGGGCTGTGCAGTGCTGGAGGAGCTGGGGATGCCCTGGGATGCTCTTCCAGCCCTGCCTGCCTGCCTGAGAAAAAGGAAAATGCATCAGAGGTGTGAATCTCAGTGTAAGCCAGCACAGGGCTCCCCAGGCTGTGAACAAACCATGTCCTGAGCTGGGGTCTGCAGCCTGGCAGGAGGGCAAGGGCTCAGCTTTTCCTTGCCTCAGAGGCTGTGATGTGGTGGGCAGGGTTTGGCTGGGCACCCAGCCTTCACCTCTTGGGGCCTGGGTACTGATGGCCCATGGGTCTCATGCTTTGATACCCTTACAAATGCTGGTTTGCTTTTCAATGTCTGTCACTTCTAAGGTTACTCCTTTACTTCTCTTGATAACTTCCTCCATAAGGAAGTTGCATGTCTATTAATTTCCAATGAACTGCTCCTTCTCTCTGCTATATACTTGGGGGTTTTTTACTTTTGTAGGTTTGCTCTGCTGCACTGGGAAGGGATAATTTGGAGTCCCCAGTTCTCTCTCTTCATGCTACTCATTATTTTATATGCCTCTCCTGTGGTCTCTCTCCTTTTCATTACTAATCAGGTCTAGTCTTTTCAATCCTCCTTTGTGTGATAGTTTCATTTTACAAAAGCTGAACTAGTTTCTATCAGCTCAGTTGATGTGATCTTACTCATATCAAAGGTGTTTAACAGCCGCAGTCCCGTGTACTCACTGCAAGCTGAACTTAAATTGTGTCAAGTTCTGTGCTGCTTTGTGAGTGCAAGTGGGAATGTTTGTTACAGCTGTCTTTAAATTTAAATTTGGATGTTTTAAATGAATTAAATATGAACATGAATAATGCAGCTGGTAACTTAGCCTTTCTGCAATTAAATGCAAACTTTTTCATTTTGTCTCTGTGCTTTCAGGTTTTGCTATGCCGCAGTGTTTGTACTGACTCTGCTGTCTTGTAGGAGTGATGGGGAACTAGAGCCCATGACAGTTCAGTGGAGCCCTTGGCACTTTTGATATCTCGGTGAGTGAAAGTTGTTTGAAACTCTGGGAGAGGAACTTCATCTGCTACTAAAGGCAGCAAATTAGTTGGTCTTTTTACGTTCATCCTGCTGAAATGAATTTGCACATTGATCTGTCCTTTCAGGTTATGAATTCTGGAAACCAGCACTCTGTAATGCTGTAGTTCATGCTTGGGAGATTATCTTGATCTCCACAAGCAGGAGAAACACAGCTTTTGAAAACAAGGGGAGTTTGAACTCCGGTGTGCAGCTCTGTGCAAGTGTCAGGCTCTGGAGATGGAGCATTGCAGCATGTGCTGGGCTGTGGCAATCTCAAAGGCTTTTTATTTGATGCAACAGTAAGATTGTGTCCTTTGTGCCATGGATCCAGCCAGGAGGTCCTCATCAGGGGCATGTTTGTGCCTGAGGTGATTCTGGAAGATCTGTCTCTGTGGGTAGCCTGGTTTTGCCCCTTGGGTACCAGTCTGTACTTTCTGCTATTTATTACTTTCACATTTTTTCAATCTTCAGTCCCTGAATGGAGTAAAGGTCGCATCCATTGGTACCATGGTGCTCCTGTCCACAGGTGCCTGTGGGCTTGTCTGTTCTGCCTTTGACTTTCTTCTCTCTACACTGAATTCTCCTCACTGGGGCATTTTAGCCTTGTCAAAACCTGTAGAGTGATTCCTCTTGCCATCCAGTGAGATGAAGTCCCTGGCTGTTTCAGGCTGGAAGGAGCTTTCAGAGGTTGTCTGGTCCAATGCTGCATGCAGAGATGGGCTGACTTTGAAGTCAGAGCCAGCTACAAGGTGAGATCAGGCTGGCAGGGGAGGGAGCTGCTGATGTTTGGAGTATCTCCAAGGGTGGAGATTTTACAGCTCCTCTGGGCAACCATAAATTACAGTCAGTGGAAACGATCAATTCCCAAGCCCTGTGTTAGTAAAGCCCAGGGGCAGCTCCTGTCTGTGCTCCCTGTGACCAGGGACAGGACCCAAGGGAGTGGCTGGAGCTGTGGCAGGGGAGGGTCAGGCTGGATGTAAGGAAAAGGTTCTTTCCCCTGGAAATGGTCATGACTCTAAGCCTGCCAGCACTCCAGGAGCATTTGGACAATGCTCTCAGACACCCCCAGGGTGGTGGGACTGTTGGGGTGTCTGTGACAGGCCAGGAGCTGGGTTTGGTGATCCTGGGGGATCCCTCCCAGCTGTGATTGTACAGTGCCTGTCTCCATGGCTGAAGAAGGGCATCCCTGCATCCTAGGGCAGGAAATGTCCCTGGGATGCACCAAGGCTGGTGGCTCCCATCTGGCTGTAGGTCCAGCTGCCTCTGGGGCAGGCAGGCTGAAGCTGTGCATCATGGAGTTTGGCTCTGCCTCTTCTCTAGGCATTACATGACTCTGAGCACTCAAAATTATTTTGCTGTTTTTTTTTTTCCCTTGAGTTATGATTTTGCAGGATTAACCCACGTGTTTCTGCCCTGTGCTGTGAGATGTAGGGGGAATCTGGGTGGTGCAGAGCTGTGTCAGAGGCTCATGGAGGCTGGCAGGAGTCAGGCTGGGGCTGTCACATTTGGGCAGTTTCTTGGAAGCATATTTTAGAGTGCAGTGTCCTTGAGCTGGCATTCATGTGGCTCTCAGCAAAGTGGGACTCCCCATGCAGCTTAAGTCTCCTCTTTTGGGGAAGAGTCACCATTTGTTTATTTATTTATTTAAATTGGACATTTACAACACCTGATTCTCTTCCATGACGTGAGATCTTGCTGAGAGCCTGCTGCAGTGTTGGCTGAGGGATACCAGCAGTCAGCTCTGTGCTTTATCAGGATCACAGAATTACAGAATCATTAAGGTTGGAAAATAACCTCCAAGATCATCAAGACTGAGCACCACCATGTCCACCACACCAGAGCACTAGTGCCACATCCAGACACTTCCTCAGCACACCACCACCTCCCTGGGCAGCCCATTCCCATGCTTGACACCCCTTTCTGTGAAGAAATTCTTCCTGATGTCCAGCCTGAACCTCCCCTGGCACATCTTGAGGCTGTTTCCTCTTGAACTGTCCCTTGTTCCCTTGAAGAGAACTGACCCTCACCTGTCTGCCCCTCCTGTCAGGGAGTTGTGGAGGGTGACAAGGTCCTCCTGTGTCGGGTCTGTCTGTCTGTCTCTGCCCCGACACGGGTAGAGTGGTTCTTTGGTGGCACGCGATTCAAAGGACGAGTCTGGACTCTTCAGCTTTTCAATCTTCGGGTTGTTTATTATTTCTTATCTACAAAATTTTCCATCTGCCCAACAGAGGTCTGATCTGCAAGCAGTCACAGGCACTCTCTGACCACCCACGGGGCGGTCATGTCTTTTTATACTAAAATCTACATACATGATATTTACCTTTATTTCCCAATGCTTTTCACCCATGTTGGCAAGTGCACCTTCACCATAAACCAATCCCCAAGTGCCAACATCACCACAGAAGATGGAGGACAAGAAGAAGAATGAAGAAGGACGAGACACGCCCCGATCCCTCCATCTTGTCTCCATAACCCCCCTGTACCAAAAACCTTAAAGTTTATATTTCACCCTCTAAATGTGTCTCTTTTACACCTCTCACTCTAAAGTGATTCTCTTGTCCTCAGACTCTTGTTACTTCTGTGGATGGATCAAAATCAAGCCACCAAGCACTCTTGGCAACATTCCAGGATTTTCGAGACCCCCAAGGGTTCTCCTGGCATCTCTGGACATCGGGAACGATGTGCTGAGATCCCACACTCCTGAGCCTCATTAGGGTTATTGGGCCATAACCTTTCACAAACCCTGTCTGAGCAGCTCAAACACAGTCACAATGTTTTTTTCTTCCAATACTTTGGAAGGGAAGGGTTCACACATCCCTGCCAGCAGGGCCCTGAGGTGCTCAGGCTGAAGCAGCTTTTCAGAAGCCCTCAGAGGGGCACAGGAACTCCTGTGCCATGAGATTTATGTGTGTGGGTACTTGAGAAAGTCCCACAGACAGCAGAGGGGCAGAGCCAGAGATGGCAAATGCTTGTCTGGTGCCTTTATATATAAACAGCTTTCAGCCTGGGTTTTTATGTCTAGGGGACTTTTCCTGCCAGGACTGCTAGTCTTTAATGAAAATGACTGAAGAAAATTATGAAAAGAAGCTTTAAAAGTTGTAAATAACCTTTCACATGTAGGTTACTTTCTGCTATTGAAAGGGAAACCAACCTTACTCCTTTCACAAGTGTGTACAGACACACACACTATTTAGGAGAGAGGCAATAAGTGACTACTGTGCACCTTTTGATTTGGATTAAAAAAACAACCAGGATTTTTTTTTTTCCTTTAGTATTTAATATTCCTGCAGTATTTTTCTTCTCAGAGTATTGCTCAGTGTTGCATGTAAAGAGGCTGTAGTTAGTAGAGCTGTTACAGAAAATTAAACTCTGTTTCTCTTACATTTCGAAAAAACCTGGTTTTCAAAACCCCAAATTCTTGCCAAGTTGGATCTGTAAATAACCTTTAAGCAGCTACTCAGCGCTGCGTCCTGAGACAGCTTCCTCCTTCTCCTGACTGCCCCACTGTGAACAAAATGGAATTATATTGATACAATTAATCTTTCATTAGTTAGTGGAGTGTCAAACATGCTATTCGTGGCTTTCCCAAGGGCTGGTTTGTGGCTCAGCCATTCATTTGGATGTTTTGTGGCAGGGCTTGGCAGGGCTTTCTGGGTGTGGCAGGCCCTGCCCTGTGGGAGTGCTTGTGCTGGAGCACTGGGTCCCTGTACATGACCACCACACATCTCTCAGGAGCTCTGATTTTTCAGGAATATTTCTTTATAACAAGAATGCAAATGCTTTTGCTTGTTGGGCACAGTCCAGTCGGTTTTTCTGCAACCAGGAAAACAAAAAATGCAGCACAACTTGGACACTCATGGCAGTACTAACAGCAAAAGTATTTCCTGGGTCATTGTCCAATTTCTCATCCTTATTCCCCAGAACTGCTGTGAGCAATTTGAATTGTAAGTGGCAAGCTGGGGATTGCTGTGTGCTTTGCCAGAGTTAATGTTATGTTTCCATGTGTTTTCTTTCATAAATTCCAGCTCTGCCTCCCTTTGTTAGTGAGTGGGGGCAGCCCCTCCTTCCACACACACGCTCTGGACCCACTGTAGGGTTAGCACAGAGACAGCCATGTGCTCCTTGTGCTTATTCATGCTGCTCCTGCTGCCATGAATTTGGTGTTGTCCACAAATTGGAGAAAGTCTTGTAGTTTCAGGGGGTAAAATGAGTTTTGTGTGTTCTGTGCTACCCCAGGTGACAGAATGTGTTTTTCCCTCCACTGTGTGATGAGTTAATGCTGCAGATGACTGTGTGCTCCAGAATGGGGAATTTTCTCATCTTTATTTCTTTTGTCCTAGACATCTTCAGTTCTGTAAGAGCAGCCCAGTCCCAGGATAAGGCCAGCAGCAGGTGGTAGAATGCGGAAACCAGGCCCTCAGAAAGGTGAGCAGTGATTTGGCACAGCCAAGGGCCCTGCAGTGAGCTGGCACGGCCTGAGTGCCTCAGGGGGCTGCCAGTGGGGTGGGAGCTGAAGGGATGTGGCTGGAAGCCCAAAAACTGAGTTGTGTTTCTCAATCCATGTGCAGAGAGCAGTTCATCAATCCCCTCTGTGACAGGAAGAGGAGAGTCCTTTTTAGGGGCATCCCTGCAGCTCATGGAGGGTGCCCTGCAGAACCCAGGGCACCATCTGGCAGAGCTCCCAGCATGAGGCAAACTGCCTGAGCTGGCACAGGCTCCCCCTCTAATGAGGCATGAAACCAGAAACCAGCCTGCCTTGTGGAGAGGAAATCTGTCAGGAGCTTCCCCTGCCACCCAGTCCCTTGGCCCCTCACACAGCACGTGCTTCCTGGGTCCTGCATCCCCAACAAAAAGGGTGAAGCCAAGCAGGCTGCCTGCAGCTGAGCTGCTCTGGCTTCTTGTGCTTAACAGAAATATTGATTTCCTTTAGTGCTGTGCCATGCATGTGCATCTGACTGGAGTGATCTCATCAGGGAGGAGAGGGGGGAAGGGAGAAGGGAGAGGATGGAGCATCCTCCACAGCTCTTTGTTCACATCTGCTCCACACTCCCAAGGTTTATTGCAGGAGATTTCTATGCTCGATTTCTCTGCTCCCTTTATTTTTTTTAAATGTCTCCTTTGCTTCTGTCGTGGTTCATCTTACAGCGGCATTATCCTCTTCCTAACACTGCTTGTCCTTTAATGAAGTGAAAATAAATGAAGGAAAGCAGGGAATGGGGAGACCCTGCTGTGAGGCAGCTGGAGGGCTTGGCAATAAAGGAGGCTGGTTGATTAGTCAGCAGCGTGGCCCAGGCCAGGCTGGCTGGCTTCAGCCTCACTCACAGCTTGTTCTCTGTGCTCCTGGAGCCTCCAGCCAGCCTGCCTCTGTGACCTGGGCTCAGAATGCCAGGCTGGGGCTTGCAGAGGCAGCACCTGCACTGTGCACATGTGGGTTTCTGTCCTACTTACCTGCTTTTTTAATAATGCATTGAACTTGCTCTGTTTCTTTATTTGTCTGCGGAAATTCTTGTTTCGCTCTCTTTCCGCTGCTTTTGTATCCTGCTTAATGAGGATTTTTGCATGTTAAAGGTTAAGAACAAAATGTACCTTCACCTGCAGAGTATGGTGAGAAGCTCCTTTGAGTGCATGGATGCTGTTTGAGCTGTCCTGCAGCACTGAGGGGAGCCTTACCCACCCAGGGGGCTCTTTTGCCTCTGCCTTAAATACTTTATGTCCTTTATTCTTGCTTTCTTAGGGACATGGCACAATGCTGTGCCTCGTGGTAATGCATTTATTAGGAAGGGTGTCCTTCAATGCTTTTCATTCATTTATGTCTCTCCAAGGAGGCTCTTTGTCTGGCCCATGTCTAGGGATGCTGTGGCCACACTCCATATGTCCCTCGTGTTCATTTAAGGGATGCTGATCTGGCATCCCTCTGTTGGGCTGGAGGCTGTTGGAGGCAGGGTGGGCATCCCCCACTTCTTGCTCCATCACTTTCCAGAGCAATAAAACCTACATGCTGTCCTGTCCATTGTGCTGAAAAGAACATGTCAAGAAGAGAAGATTGTAAAAATAATTGTCCCAAAGCAATTCCAGACACACCAAGACACCCCAGGCCACTTTAGAAGCAGCTCTTAGCCTGCCTCTTCCAGCTACTGCTCAGATTTCAAACCTTTTGCTTTCACAAGGAACTGTTTTCCATGGGGGCAAGGCACATTTCACAGGGCACTACCAAGCTGCTGTCTACAACAGCCCTAAAAATGGTCTGTAAAATAAAGGAGCTGGAATGCAGCAACAATCCCAGGGTGCCAGCCTGGCAGCAGCAGGTTGAGGAGCTGGCTCAGGGGGAACTCTGCCATGGCACAGAGCTGGAGGCCAGGATGAGCATTCCCCACTTTCTGCTCTATCACTTTCCAGAGCTGTCTTGAGATCTTCAATTTTTTGGAGCTCTGAGACCCAAAGCTATCATGAGCAAAGACAGCTCAGGTGAGCTGCTCTGCAGAGCTGGTGCTGCTTTGCTGTTGTGCTCTCTTCTGAGCTGCAAGGGACACAAGGAAACCTGGTGTTTTGTGTGGAGAGGGCACTTGTGCAGATTTTCAGAGAAGTCACCACAAAGGGCTGAGGTTGCTTGTGTAGAATAACCTGGAGTTGATCCACAAGGAGCCATTCTGCACCAAAGATCCACATGAGCCATTTTTAGTGGCTGTTATGTTTGTTCCTCTCAAGCCCTTCTTCTCACAGCTAAAGTGATGGAGTTTGCTGGTTTTTGTTATTGCTTGTCACTGAAGGAGAACAGTGGCTGGTGGAACTAAACAGGGACTGAGGTGCAGATGTGGATACCTCCTGTCAGGTGCCTGCATGAGCTGTGGAGAGGAAGGGAGCACACCCAGAGATAGAGGCAGATCATCCACGTCGCTGGGGTCATGACAGGGAGGTCACTGCTCTGCTCTGAATGCCTGGAACACAGATAGTGCAGAGGGGTGCATTGTCTGGCTCCTTTCCCTGACACAAATGCTCTGTTTCTTGTCTCAGCCATAGACTGGAAAGATGGTAAAAAGCACAAGTACAGCCGCCCCTCAGAGTCTCCCTCCCAGTACCAAGGTAAGAGAGCTCCCTTCTTCCTCCCCTCTTTTTTTTTTTGCCCTCCCTTCTCCCTTTTGTGATTTCTGAAGATTTGTTTTTGACAAGTGCATGGTGCAGCAGTGAATATTGGTGATCACCTGCAAGGAACTCTGAGCAGCTCATCACTGCCCAAAGCTTGGGCACATCCTTGGAGGGTTTGGGTCTGGAGAGGAGAAAGGTCTGAGGAGACCATAGAGCCCCTTCCAGTGCCTCAAGGGGCTCCAGGAGAGCTGAAGGGGGACTTTGGACAAGGGTCTGAAGTGACAGGACAATGGGAGCAGCATCATACTGTCAGAGAGCAGGGTTAGATGGGATATTGAGAATAAATTCTTGTTAGGCTGGGCAGGCCCTGGCACAGGGTGCCCAGAGAAGCTGTGGCACCTAGAAGTGTCCAAGGCCAGGCTGGACAGGGTTTGGAGCACCCTGGGACAGTGGAAGGTGGAAAGGAATGGGCTTTAATGTCCCTTCCAACCCAAACCATTCTGTGATTCTGCACAGTGAGAGGGTAAAACTGCAGCATCTGGCACAGAGCACCCTGTAATCCAGGTCAAAGCTGCATTGGGACACCTCTGAGGAGAGCAGGACAGAGCAGACAGCACCCTGATATTTCAGAGCTGTTAGTTTTAACTGACTCACACATTGTCACATTTTACTGAGCAGGACAGAGCAATGGGGCTCATGTTACCAGTGGAGCATGGTGCAGCTGGATTGGTGGCTGAGCAAAGTGCCTGGCATGGGGCAGGGTTGTGGTATAGGAGCCTCCTTGAGCCAGGTCTCATAACTCTCATATTCAAGATGGCTCAGCTACCTTTGGAGGCATAAAATCAGCAGGATGGCTTCTGTTGCAGTGTTGGAAACAAAAAGGTTTAATAAAAGGCAAAATAACAAACAGAGAAAAACTGAGGTAGGTGCAGGAGGTCCTTGCTCCTGGTAACACACTTTACAAAAGTGATTATTTTCTTTGTTCAATTATTTTTCTAGTAAATTGCCCAGGTGGGACTTTTTGGCTTCTGTCCAATTTGCTCTCCTTAAGCTTGAGGTGAAGTCTCCCAGGCCTATGAGGTGTCTTTTTTTACCTAATGGAGGAGAGAAACTTGTGGGCTTCTTTCCTTTTTGAGGGGACAGAGGAGAGTTTTGTCACTCTGTCAGCAAAAGGCACACTCCTATAGGGTGGGACAGCCTGTGGGAGAGCTGGCCCTCAGGAGGCCATGCTCAGACATCAGGGACAGCCACTGCCACCTGGGATCTGCCAGCCCAGACCATGCTCTGCTCCTTTTCATGCAGAGCTGCTTTCATGTGCTGCTGCCTTGGTGCTCCTTAGCAGCCACACATATGGGCTGCAGACTTTAATGGGATGCCTTGATCTGGCTAGGGCACGTTCTCCTTCACAGATGTGACCTGAAACACACATGTATTGTTTCAGTTGGATTGATGACCCCTCGGGAGCCAAAATGCTAATGGAGCCCAAAGCAGACTTCAGTTAAAGATATAAACAGAAACTCCATCTTCATTGAAATTCTGGGCAAAGGATCAATGTTAAATGCAACATAAAGAAAATCAAAACATGAGGGTGCAGAGCTGCATTGTTCACAACTACTGCAGTTTGACCCCTTGGGTTTGTGGAGTGTTTTGTTTGGAGTGAATATTTTTGAAGGTTAAGACATCAGAGCCCAAATGTGACTCTCTGCCTGGAAGTAATATCTGCCTTTGGCACGAGCACATGACAAGGAGTTTTCCCAAGGCAAGCACAAGTGACAGACAGTCACCCCAGTGGCATTTCCACAGCCAAGTCACAGGGACTCACACGGGTTCCCAATCCTTGGCTTTTGTTTGGCTCACAGATGGAGTTGCAAAAACAGGGTGTTTCTCATTTAAGGGTCTTTCTCTCATTTCTTCCTGTGAAGAAAATCCAGTGTGCTGGAGAGAGGCAGAGAGGGACGTGGGACAAGGGCCTGAAGTGCAGGGTTTCCTCTCATGCTAAGGGTGTAGTGGCAACTTCCAACTGCAGTCTGCACTTTTTACCTTGGTTTGAAGGTAATCTTGAAAAAGAAGTGCAGGTTCTACCTGTGCTTGCCCTGCCACCTGTGTGTAAGGAAATGGCTGGTACTGAACTCTGCTGTATCAGCTCTGTCTTTTCTTAGAAGTCTTTCTGCTGCTCCTGCTTTTCTTTGCAAAATAAATCACCAGAACCATTATTGATAGGAATGAGAGAATCACAGAACATCCTGAGCTGGAAGGGACCCACAGGATCATCAGTGCAGCCCCTGGCTCTGCCCAGACCCCCCAACAGCCCCACCCTGGGCTGGAAGGACCCACAGGATCATCCAATGCAGCCCCAAACCCTGCCCAGAGCCCCCAACAGCCCCAGCCTGGCCATCCCTGCAGCGCTGCCCAAATTTCTCCCCCATCCTTCATCTCCCCCATCCCTCCCTCTCACAGAATCATGGAATGTGCTGAGCTGGAAGGGACCCACAGGGATGATCAATGCCAAAGCCAAGCCCTGCCCAGAGCCCCCAGCAAGCCCAGCCTGGGCATCCCTGGAGCTCTGGCAGCCTCGGGGCCGTGCCCATTCCCTGGGCAGCCTGGGCAGTGCCCAGCACCCTCTGGGGGAAGAGCCTTGCCCTGAGCTCCAGCCTGAGCTGCCCTGGCCCAGCTTCATGCTGTTCCCTCAGGTCCTAGAGAAGCTGCAGTTCTAATGCTGTGTGTGTCTTCATACAGTGGTTGAATCCCAGCAGGCTTTAGAATTAATCTCAAATAAGTTCCATGTCCAAACACTATTTTTAGAGGCCTGCAGCTGTGTCAGAAATTCTCTGCTCCCACTGGGGTTGTGCAGCATGGATCTGGGCTGTGGGGTGAGCTGCTGCAGGGAGCAGGATGGCCTGGCTTGGTGTGGAGGGAATGGAAAGTGGGAAGATTAAAACCATGACAACTTTTAATAGTGATGGATTGAAACCAGCTGAGGGGAGTTTGTTTGGTTTGGGTTTTTTTTAATAAAATTGTCAAGCACAGCTGATCCTGTTCAGGCTGCTGGCTCAGGGCCTGGGCTGACACTGGCACTGCTCACCCAGTACTGTCACCTGGGTGTCCTCTGTGCTCTGGGGACAATGACCTCTGAAGGGCCACCCCAGTCTGAGATGAGTTAAGGGGTGGGATGTGCCCGGCTTTGCTTTGCCTGGGTGTTTACTCCACATTATTCATACAAAGAGTTTCATTGACAGAACCAAGTATAAAATCATATCTTCAACTAAAGCAAAAGATTTTTGGTTTTGTGAGAGCATCATTGCAGTAACTCACTGAATTTCTTCATTCACCCAGTGTGAGACTGTGGCTGAAATGAAAATATGTGCCATTGGATAGAGCTGAGTCCTCTGTGGCGTGGAGAGTGCTGTCAGTCTGCAAACAGCAATATTCAGCCAGTGTGGCAATGAAACTGTATTTTTTCTGTTCATTTTCCCCATTTTTAACAGTGTACTAGTCATCTGCATGGGAGGTGGTGAGAAAGCAGCATTCCTTGTATTTATTTGAAGCTTGTAGATTATGAAGGCTCCTCTGTGCATGAGGCAGCACTGAAGCAATGTGTGCTGACCTTACTGCCTCAGTTTTCAGAGGTCTGGTGTGTGCTGCAGTAGCTAAAATGGCTCTTAATGTAGCTTTTGTTTTGAAAATAGACTGATTAAGAACTTGCCTGAGTCGGGGAAGCAGTGGCTGACTTTAATTGTGCTGCCACCATTGCTCTTGAAATGCCTTGAAAACAGTGGTCTCCCGGGAGCTGTTTGGATGAATACAAGTGAATGTCATGCTGCAAGGTTCCTCTCCCAGCTGCTCAGTTTAAATGGCAAAAGTCATGATTTGCTCAGATCACAGGAGCTTTTAATTCCTCATTTAATAACCCAGGTTTCCCTGGGTGGCTTATTGCTTTTACCCTTCCTGCTGTACATGAGGAAGGTGCAGAGGCAGGGATGAAATGCACTTCCCCTGGCAGCAGCACTTGGTGGAAGGGGGATTGAGGTTGGGTGTGAGGTATTGAGCTCAGTAAATCCCTGTTTGGAGGATCCCTGCTCCCACCCTATGGACTTCATGGCACTTGAGGAAGTTAATTGTTGTCCTGTCCACTTACTGCTGGGCTGCTCCCTGGCCCATGGGGTGGGCTGTGTCTGTGCTGGACCAGGGGTTACCATCCAGTCACCAAAAAGCAGATTCCAGTTTTAAATCCACGATTTCCAATCATGGGATCACAGAATGGTTTGGGTTGGAAATGACCTTAAAGATAATCTCATTCCAGCCCCAAGCTGTGCTGCTCACAGCCCACAGTGACTGTTTGCAATCCCCAGACTGAGTGATGTGTTTAATGAATGGTTTTGAAGGGGCAGTTGTCTGGAGGACTCAGCAGATTCCCATCTGTGCTGGGTGTTTTCCATTAAGTTGCAGGTTGTTATCCTGGCTCTGTGCAGCCCCTTCTCAGCAGCACCGAGGCAGGAGGATGCCGAAGGCAGAGCTGGGCTTTGTTCTGCCTGTCAGTTGCAGTTGTAAATCTTCTGTGCTCACAAACATCAGAGGTTCTTGCTGAAAACACGTTGCCTGTGAGCACCTCCTCTGTGAGAAGTGCAGAACTGCCAGCACAGGAGTCTGGCCAGTTCTTTTACTGAGAATTTTGCTCATCCTTTCTTATTTGAATCCTTTTGTTTTTACTTCTCAGGTCACTTCACCTGGGAGAAGTACCTGAAAGAGACATGTGCCATCCCAGCTCCTGCCCATTGTTTCAAGCAGGTAAGAGGGTAAAAACAGGAAAGGTCAAGGGCTATGGTCCAATGGAAGCCCTGGAGTTCTGTGCCTGGGATAGACCCCTGGCTTGGAAAGGAAGATACTTAAGGATATTGGAGACTGAACAGAAATCCAAGTGCTGAAGCAAAGATTAAAAATATGCATTTAGAGTAGCACAGAAGATTTTCCTCTCAGATGTGCATGTTGGGAACACAAGTGTGCTATTAACTCTGCCAAACACAGCCCCTTGGAGAAAGTGTCCTGAGTAGGCTGGCATCCAGCTTTTGGTGGATCCTGCTCAATCAGGAGATTTTCAGCAGAATTCACCCAATTGTTGTGAATTGTTGAGAGAACAGCAGCCCCTGGGCAGCAGGTATTGAACCCAGAGGTGGCTGTGCTGAGAACAGGGGGTGCAGGAGTGAATCATTGTGGGACACGTGGGTCTGGGCAGAGGGGAGAGTGAATGTCTGTGTGGGTCTGGGCTTGGCTGGGTGATCTTCCCAGGAGAGGGTTAATCCCCTACACTGGGCACTGCTGGGGCTGCACCTCAGATCCTGGCATCAGTTTTGGGCCCCTCACAACAAGGGGGCTGCAGCATGTCCAGAGAAGGGAATGGAGCTGGGGAAGGAGCTGGAGACCCAGGAGGGGCTGAGGGAGCTGGGAAAGGGGCTCAGCCTGGAGAAAAGGAGGCTCAGGGGGGCCCTTGTGGCTCTGCACAGCTCCTGCCAGGAGGATGGAGCCAGGTGGGGTCAGGCTCTGCTCCCAGGAAACAAGAGACAGGATAAGAGGAAACAGCTTCAACTTGTGCCAGGGGAGGGCCAGGTTGTATATCAGGAAAATTTCTTCACTGGAAGGGTGATCAGGCCAAGGAAATGTGTGTCCAGGGCACTAGTGGAGTCCCCATCCCTGGAAGTGTTCAAAAGCATGTGATGCCTAGGGGTACTGGGTTAGAGGTGGGCTTGGCAGCACTGTGGGAACAGCTGAAGCTGATGATGTTAAAGGTGTTTTGCAGCATTAATGACTCTGTGATTCCAAGAGAACAGGCTTTAGTTGTCTGGATGATGCAGGATGGAAGGATGGGGGTCTGTTACAGACGTGCCTGGGCTTGCTGAGTTCTCAGTGGTGCCTCTGCTGTGCCTGGAGGGGCTGTCAGCCTTCAGCAGACCCCGTTTGGAGGCTTTGTGCCCAAGCTGGTGCATGCATATATTGGCAAACCTGGACTGACTGGCCCCTTGTTGCTGTTGGTTTGGAGGGTCCCCAGGGAGCCCCCTAAGCTGTGTGCTCACTGGTGGCAGCAGGCAGGCAAGGAGATGTTTTGCAGAGATAATCAAAACTCCACAACTTTTGGGAAAGTTGTAAAGCCAGTGTGTTTATTACAGCACTGGACACGTGGGAATCGTTCTCCTAAAATGACATGGGTACCTCTGGGAACTTCAGGTCCCTTTTTATCCCCTTCTCAAATATATATGCATACAATTTCACAATAGGTTCATATTCATTTTTACTAATTTCCCGTGACATTTGCTGCTAGTTCTTCTTTATCAGAAAGAATTCCTAGGTCAGGTTGAGCTGCTCTCACAGCAGTCTCTCTGTCTCTCTCTATCACCCTCTGTCTACACCCCATTATCTCTGTCCTTCACTGAAGCAGTTTCTCTGAGCCTAGGCTTTTTCAGTCAGGCTACAGAGCTATGTTTTCTAACCACAGACTCAACTCAAAAATGTACATTTCACCTAAATCAAAATGGATTTCTACCCTGGAAAATTCCTACCCTGCTTCAGAGACTCCACATGGCTTCTGAGGGTGCTAATTAGATGAGGGTTTATTGGGGGTCCCACCCCTGGGAGCAGCATGGTTTCTGAGGGAGCAGGGGGAGAGAAGGGCCAAGAGAGAGCCTGGTCTACGTCCCACAGCTTAACAGGGAGATTCAAAGTGGGTGCAGAATAAGCCTTGGGCCAATGGGATTACAGATCCATGATACTGCAGGGGAGGATCATTGGCTCAGAACAAACCCTACATTTTCCAGGGCTGAGACAGAGCAAACCACTGAACTAAAACATAACACCACAGCCCCTGTTCCACTCTTTACAGTCCTACACTCCACCTGCCAACGAGTTCAAGATCAGCATGAAGCTGGAGGCCCAGGACCCCCGGAACACCACGTCCACGTGCATCGCCACCGTGGTGGGGCTGACGGGCGCCCGCCTGCGCCTGCGCCTCGACGGCAGCGACAACAAGAACGACTTCTGGAGGCTGGTGGACTCTGCTGAGATCCAGCCCATCGGCAACTGTGAGAAGAATGGAGGCATGCTGCAGCCTCCACTGGGTGAGCTGGAGTTCAGCTGTCCAACAAGGGTCAAGTTGATGGTGGGGAAAGTTTGGGCTGTGGGAATGTTCCTCACTCGGGGCTCATCAAATGTGGTGGTGTTTGTAGGGGCCCCAGGACGAGGGGGCATCCTCTCTGGAACAGAAAGCCTCACCACCTTCTGAGAATGAAAATTCATTATAAACTTCAAAATCCCCAGCAGCCTGAAAATAGACTTCTACTCTCTTACCTTCTTCCCCATTGCACTGTTTGTATCATGATCTATCCTACAATTTGCCACATGATACATGGCCTCAGATCCCTACATTACAAAATTTTTCACCTACCTACTATTCTTCCTAATTGCCATACTCATCCTAATCATTGCCAACAACCTATTTATCCTGTTCATTGGCTGAGAAGGAATTGGAATCATGTCCTTCCTACTAATCAGCTGATGACATGGACAGGCAGAAGAGATGAGAATCTTGACTCCATCTTGCAGAAGGCTGATTTATTATTTTATGATATATATTATATTAAAAGAAAACTATATATTAAAACTATACAAAAAGAATAGAAGAAGGGATTTCATCAGAAGGCTAGCAAGGAAAGGAAGGAATGATAATAAATTCTTGTGACTGCTCACAGCCTCAACACAGGTGGCTGTCATTGGTCATCTGAGACCTTCCAACCCAAACCGTTCAGTGATTGTGCTGCCCATCTCTTCCAAAGCCCTGTGGGCCGCTGGGCCCCTCCTGTGCCTGGCGTGGCCAGCAGAGGGCACGAGGCGCAGGCGGAGCAGCCCTGGCTGTGCTCGGGAGCAGGTCCGGGAGTGCTGCCCCGAGCTCTGCTCTGTGCCACCTGCTTAACCTTGTGCCAGGGGAGAGGCCACGGTCAGCTGGGATGTTAGGATAAAATTCTTCCCTGTGAGCGTGGTGAGGCTCCGGCATAGTGGGATCAGGGAAGGTGTCCCTGCCCATAGCTGGGGAGTGGAACTGGATGATTTTGCACCCAGCATGAAGACAGGTAACTGAGCTAGTGCTGCAGTTGTCCTTCTGCCTGCAGAGTTCAAGGGCCTAGAAAACCCAGTAAGAGTTTTCTCTTTCTTGTAGTATTTTCCATGTGCACACATCTGCTGCTGCTCTTTCTTTACACAGATAATTCCAGGACATGGCTGGAGCTGGGCCAGGGCAGCTCAGGCTGGAGCTCAGGGCAAGGCTCTTCCCCCAGAGGGTGCTGGGCACTGCCCAGGCTGCCCAGGGAATGGGCACGGCCCCGAGGCTGCCAGAGCTCCAGGGATGCCCAGGCTGGCCTTGCTGGGGGCTCTGGGCAGGGCTTGGCTTTGGCATTGATCATCCCTGTGGGTCCCTTCCAGCTCAGCACATTCCATGATTCTGTGAGAGGGAGGGATGGGGGAGATGAAGGATGGGGGAGAAATTTGGGCAGCGCTGCAGGGATGGCCAGGCTGGGGCTGTTGGGGGCTCTGGGCAGGGACAGGAGTTGGACTGAGGGGACCACTGATCCTTGTGGTCCCCTCCAGCCCAGGATATTCTGTGAGTCACATAAAATGTTTTCTTTGCCACTGTGGGAGCTGAGCTCTCCCATCCCCTGCAGTTGTGGCTACTTGGGTTGGTTTCCAAGCTGATCTGACAGAGCTCAGGGCTGGCAGGGTGACCTGTGCTGAGCACTGCAACCTTGGCAAAGTTTTGCCATGTTCTTGGTCCAGGTCCAGTGCCAGGATTACCTTCAAAACCCCTCCAACCACAGACCTAACACAGCTGAGCAGCAGAAGTTGCCTGTGCAGGAGGATGCACGTTTAACAAAGATATCTGTGATATCCAGAGCCTTCTGGTGGTTGTATAGTCATAGTCAGTGCCACATACCTCAGAGCATGTGAAATTGCTTTTTTCTTCCCATGAGCCCCCTCTTGTTATTTCTCCACTTTTTTCCCAGCAGGTGTCAAGCCAAAACCTGCCATCCTTCCCTATAATGTGTTCCAGGCAAATCACAGCCTCTATTTCTTCAGATTAGCTTGCCTGCAGCTCACACTAGAGGTAGAGGAGGCCACCCAGAAGCTGTGATTCCCTGTTGAGGAAGAAATTCCATAGCCTGAGTGTGCATTTGCTGATTCATGGCTCCCCTGCAGCAGGAGCTGGCAGCACTGAGGCTGCACAAAGTGCTCTGTCTGGATGGTCAATGGGATTGTTGTGATAAGTGAATATTGCAGTCAGACAGCTGTTTCCAGATGTTTCTTTTCAATAACACAAATGCTTTACATTCAGAATATCTGGCTAAAATCCCACCTGACTCCAGCATGGGAGGAGGGTGGTATGGGATCACAGTTGTGTGAGTTCCCATCAGGGCAGGCTTGTGCTGCCAGATCCACCAACCCCCACAGTCTAACAGTGTCCATCTCCTCTTCCCTCCCCTCAGGCTTCCGGCTCAATGCCTCCTCCTGGCCCATGTTCCTTCTGAAGACCCTGAATGGAGCAGAGATGGCTCCTGTCCGGATTTTTCACAAGGTATTTCCCTGTTTGTGCAGAGCCTTCTGGCAGAGCAGCAGACTCAGAGCTGCTGTCTCATGAGAGATGTGCTGGTCCCATAGGAGGTGACACTGCACAGCTCAGGGCTGCTCCAGGACAGACCTGTGTCCTCTCCAGCTGTGTCATAGCAGTGTCAGGATGTAGCCAGAGGTCTGCCAAGGAAGTGTTTGGGCTTCAGGGCTCAGGCTTGAGGCGGGAGCTGGTTTTTCACTGGAGCTGCAGGTGCTGCTCAAAGTGGGGAATGCAAGGTGGGAACATCAGCATCTCTGTGCAATGTCCCACTCCCTGGGTTCAGTCCAGCAGTGAGCTGTGGACTTTGCTGCCTCTTGATTAAAGGGCAGTGGCTGTGTAGCCCAGCCAGTGTGTGCACACCTCTTGGGGTTCAAATCCAACCCACTAATTCCCTTCAGCTCCTTGTGGAGTTGAGTTTGCTGGTGAGGGCACAGCCCTGGTGTGGGGAGGCACTGCCATATCCCCTTTGAGCATATATTCCACTTCTTCTTGTAGGAACCACCATCTCCTTCCCAAAACTTCTTCAAGACAGGTATGAAGCTGGAGGCAGTGGACAGGAAGAACCCTCACTTCATCTGCCCGGCCACCATTGGGGAGGTGAGAGGTTCTGAGGTCCTGATAACATTTGATGGCTGGAGAGGTGCCTTCGATTACTGGTGCCGATATGATTCCCGGGACATCTTTCCCGTAGGCTGGTGTTCGCTGACTGGAGATAATCTGCAGCCCCCTGGTACAAAAGGTAAGGCCCACGTTGTTTTTTAGCTATCTTGGCTCCTCCACTCAGCTCTCAAAGAGCAGCAAAGCAGGCAGAGACTGGCAGCAAGGACACCTGGGTGCTCTGTCTGGTTTTTGTGCAGCTTCGTGCGTGGTAAAGGTACAGGTGATCAGACCCAATAGCACTGGAACAGCCTGGCTGTCCATAAAGCTGGGCAGGATGATGGCTCTGGGGAGGGATGGTGCTGTACAACTTTGCTGAGGTCTGCTCCTCTCCAGGAATTCCCTTGAAGTTTTTCCTGCGCCTTTGAACCACATTTTCCTGTGCAGTTTGTCTCAGGGGGAATAATGAGAAGTGTGAAGCTGCAGGACTGTGCCTCTTTGTGCTTGGGGCAGTTTTCTTGGTGTGCCTTTGCTGTGACCAAAGCAGGTGTGGAGCAGGTTGTGCCTGCCTTGTTCTTAGGGCTGTGATTGTTGGGGAGGAGCAGTGCTGGGGAATTTGATGCCTTGCAAATGGCTGAGCAATGGCTGGTTTGATTCTCAAGACCTGTCTCAAGCTCTCTCACATCACAATTGTGTTTGGGCTCAGGAGGGCTGTCACTGTCCCCAGGCACATCCCTCTGGCATTTACTGGCTGGCCAGCCCTGCACATGGCTGGTCAATGAAATGAGGGGCAGGAGAACAGCATCTCTGCCAGAGCTGAAGGATTGCTTAGGAAAGGCATTTCTCTGACAGGACTGTTCCTCTTGGAAGTCCTGGGTCAGCTCATGCTGCCCTGTGTCCCTGGCATGGGCCAGGTCTGAGCTCAGGGCTGGTCTCAGTGGATTGCCTGAGGTGATCTGTGTGCAAGCCAAGCTGTGAGCACCCCTTGGCTGAAGATGATTCCTCTTTATCTTGGATTTCTACATTTTGCCTTGCTGTTCCCAGCCTCTTCCTCTCTTCTTGCTGGTTGCTGTGTCCCAGCTGCTGCTGCCCTGCAGGCTCTGCAGAGCACTGGGGCCCTCTTGGGCAGTGGCTGAGTCCTCCAGTGGTGCCCTGGTGCTCTCACCAGGCATCTCCAGGGTGCCTCTCAGGTACTGCACGAGTGGCTCAAGACATGTTTGTGTTTGGTGGGAGCTTTCCTGCCAGTAATCAGGGGGTAGAAGGTTTCAGGAGAGCAGTGGAAGCCTCCTCAGGAGAAGTGGGAGCCTGTCTGACCCTCAGCCCCAGCACAGGCAGCTCTGTTCCTCCCCAGCCTCCTCCTGCCAGGGCTGAAGCTGTGAGTGAGCAGAGCCCAGTCAGTTATCCAGAAACAAGATCCCATTGTGCCATCCCTTGGCAAGTGGCTGGGATGGCTTCTCCCTTTCCCACTGGCTCCATGTGCAGTCACTCTGCACTTCCTGCTCGTGTACAAAAATAGTGACCCCCAAAAAGTCACATCTCTCCACGCACAGGCAGAGGCAGCCCTCACCCTCAGGCAGATTTCTGCTCTCTTTCTCCTTTTTTTTCAACTCCTGGGACAAGAGCAGGGGTTGGCAAGGGTTCCATGAGCCATGTAAAAATGCCAGGGAGTTGAGATCAACCTTGTCTTTGTGCTTTTGCTTCTCCCTCTGTGACTGTCTGCTCCCTCTCCTGACCAAGAATTTCTGACTTGCACTTTGTGGGATTAAACCAAAAGAACAGAGTAGTGGGAGCTTTCTCTAATGAAATTCCTCCTGTGTTTCCTCAGCCCTGCTGTGGTGGAGGGTTGAGCACAGTCCTCCCAGACCTGAGAGTGCTGCTCTTGGCAGGGTGGGAGGATGCATCACCACAGAGAAATTGCCTTTTCCTTGAGCTGCACTAAACCTTCTCCATGTGCCAGCCTGCAGGACCATGTGGTGGAGTCAGGCAGTTTCCCTTTCCTGGTGGGAATTCCTCTCAAAGAGGACTGGAGAGACATGCAGGCAGTCAGCTGCTGCTGTGGTAAACTGGTCTGTGCTCATTTACTGGGCTGACTGTGGGGAAGGTGGGGAGTCCTGTGAAGAGTTAACTCCATGGAGAATGAGTAACCCCATGGCTTCCTGGGGCTGAGCAAAAAGAGGCCTCGTGGAATGAGCTCATGTTCAAGGGAAGCACAGCTTCAAAGAGGGCAGGCATGTTTATTTAATGCTGGTAACTCCAGTCAGCTCTAATCTGTCTGTGCTGCTGGCTGCCAGCAGAAGTGGAGGAGTGCAGGGCTTCTCCATGGTCCTTCTCCATCTCCAGGGCCTCCCAGTCCTCCCAGCAGTGTTAGCTTAGCTGGAGCTGGTGGAGCTGGAGCCCAGCCAGCCACTCCATGGAGCTTTCATTAGGCCATGTGTGTGTGTTAAAGAAGGAAAGGGAGGTCAAGCAGCAAGGAGGAGCAGCCTGCATGCCTGTGCTTGGTAATTGCACTGCTGCCTGCTGCCTGTGCAGTGCCTGTGGGCTCCTGGGATCTCCTGGTGCTCCTGTCTGGATGCTGCACACCTTGGGGCTGGGGGATCCAAGCCAACAACACCACACAGGGAAATGGAGCTCTGGGAGTGCCTGTGGTGGGTCCTGGTCCTCTCTCCACTCCAGGGATGGATGTTGGCTCTGCTGGGCTACAGAGCAAGGCAGAATGTGGGAGAGCTCATCCTGTGCACCCACAGCTTCCCCAGCTCAGCCTGGCAGCTGCTGGGGGAGGCAGGTCCCAGTGGCTGTCCCAGAGGAGGGGAGTTCTGTGTGTGTGCAGCAAACTTTCCTCAGCACGCCACCCACACCAGTGGGGTGCTCCCAGGGATGTCCATTGGCCAGGAATCCCTACTCCACTCTTCATATGTGGTGTACAGCACCTTACATGTCTTTTCATGCCTCTTATACGTGTACTTTTTTACCTTAAATACGTATCTGTACCTTAAATACACATCTGCACATACCTTTTAGGAATATAAGGGGAGGTGGACTTTCTGTTCAGCTGAGTGCTGGCTGGGAGCTCTGCTCAGGGGGTTTAGAGTCAGAGAACATCCTGGGCTGGAAGGGATCCACAAGGATCATCAAGGCCAGCTCCTGGCCCAGCACAGGACAGCCACAATCAAAGCAGTCTGAAAGGAACTTGCCCACACACACATACAGACACCAGTGTTCCTTAAGCTGCTCCCATGTTTCATGTGGTACTGGGAGGGCAGGGGAATAGTGTCCCCTTGAGCACAGGGAAGCAGGGACACAGGTAAAGCCCTCACTGTATCTCAGAAGGTGCCTGTGCTATTCCTCCATCCTGGCTGATGCCAGGTTGCTCTGGACTCCTGATGGGTTTGCTGCCCCCTGTTCCACCCTTCTGGATGCTCTGGGACAGAGAGAGGGGTGACTGTGCTGTGGGAGAGGGGCAGCAGTGAAAGGGTTCAGGTTGGCAGGCAGAGCTGGAAGCTGCTCCAGCTCTGGAATTTGGAGGACTGGAATTGCTGCCTTGGCAGCAGCCCAGCTGGCAGAGAGCCCCAAGCCCAGGCAGGCAGGGCAGAGCTATCACAGAGCTCATCCTCTGCCACCATGCCAGGGCACTGGGGGCACTGCTCAGTGCCTGCACAGGTCTGTGTGTGCCCTCAGACCCTGCTCCCTCTGCTTGCAGAGCAGGCACATGGGAGTAGTTTTAGTAGTTACCAAGGGGATAGGCTGAAGGGGAGCTCCATCCACCCTGGGCTCACAGCTCTGTGTTACCCTGGGACCAGAGCTGCCTGCTGGGGCTGCTGCACTGACTCCAGAGGGTTACAAGATGCTGATCCTGGACAGAAAGCTCATGAAGTTCTTCATTTCTCACCACCACTGCTGCCATGTGATTTGTTGTTTAACTGCTTTGTCTCCTCAAAGGAAGATGATGATCAGCTGCTAGGTTTCCTGCCCAGGGGCAAAGGTAATGTGTATTTTATTATTTTATTTTGGACATTGCTTGGTTTCTCTTCCTTCTTCAGGGTGAGAACATAGTGGTGGGAAGAGGAGCCTCATCAGGAGTAGTTGGCAGGGTAACAGCTCAGGTGAGCTCCTGTGCATTCCTGCTTGGAGGAGATGGGAAAATATTAATGAATTACTGTCTCTTTAGGACTGAGCTGGGATCTGGAGCTCACACATTAAGCTGGGTGACATTGCTTTGCACTGGCATGGCTGGTTTGGGGACCACACAGTCGAGCTTATGCACCAACAGGAGGAGGAAGGAGGGTACACAGAGCAGTTCAGGTGTTTATCCATGAGGGTAACACACAAACAGCCCTGGAGCCTGCGTGTGCTGCCTCTGAGGCTGCTCTTGGAAGATCCCAAGAAAATCTTTTGAGCTATTTGGAGCACAGAGCCCAGGCTCTTAGCAGTGACCCTGGCTCAGCTTGGATGGTGTCCTGGAGTACACATGTGGGATTTGGAGGTTTGGGGGCTTGGTAAGGGAACCCAGCACTGCAGGAGGCTCTGGAGTGCTGACAGTGCCTGTGGCTCAGCAAACACCAGATGGGAACCATGGCATATCAGAGACCTGAGGGTACTGAGTGATGTCCTGACAGGAGCCTCTGAGAAAAGGAACTGACCTGGCAGAAGCAGTTTCCTCTGGTCTCCAGCCTGTCCTTACTCTCAGTGTCTACACCTTCCTCTCAACTTGACTTTTCCTCATGTTTTATTTTGAAATGTTTCATATCCCAGAGAACCTGGGTTTTGTTTAGGATGTTTCCTTCCCTTTTCCACTGTGCTTCCTGGCCCAAAACAGAGTTTCAATGTCTCAGGGTGTTACTGAGCCTTGGCAGGAGGTTGAACACTCCACACCTTGTTTCTGCTTGTCACCATATTCCAGCCTTGGTGGCAGGAACTTGGTCACCCTTTAAATTCCAGGATTTGGAGTCTTGTTCTTAATCCCTGTCTTTGCAGGGAGCCTGTGTCTCCCACCCTTGCTCCTGTGTTGTGTCTGCCATGTCTGCTGAGAGCTCAGGATAATCCAAGCCTGGAGCCTTCCAGGGCCTCTATTTCTGTCCCAGTTGTGCTCATGGTGGCCAGTGATGATGGTCTCTGCTTTGGGAAGAATCACAGGGCTTTGAAGCT